AGCAAAAGATGATTGTGGTGATCACAAAGCAGGTGAAATGAGCACAAAACCCCCTGCAAGGTTGTAGTAGCTCAACACTGTAACATTTCTATAACAAGTTCTAAAGAAAAGGCATTGCAAAAAAAAAAAAAAAATTAAATTAAATTTAAAAAAATTCCAGTGCAAACTATCTCTCCCCCAATGCAAGTATGAAAGGCATTTAATGAGGAATACATGAATTACGCAATGGCTAGAAAGATACTTTCATGTTACTTAAATAATTCAGATTACATTCAGCTAACAGCAGATTATAATAAACCATGCATTTCTAAATATTTTAATATATTTGCTCAGTGTCAGAACATTATCAGCTAGTCACTATTGTTAGCAAAACTTTATCCTTTTATTTACTATGTCCAGTCTTTATGCTGTCAGTTTGGGAAGCTTGCAAACATTTATTAAATAATGCACAAAGGATAAATACAACATTAAATCCTATGCTTATACCTTGAAGATTAAATTCATGTTTCTAGTATATTAAAAAACGACAGCTATAGTTAATTCTGGAAATATGGTGTCTCCAGAACACAGAGAACAAAGTTTGGGATTTAATACATGAGAACTGAGGCTGTAAAATTCTTTGATCCGCAAGTATCACATACGTAAGCCTAACTATTTTTCCTTGAAAACTTTAAATAGGTCAACTATCTCACTGCTACCATGTAGTTTATACCTCTGCATCTATCCTTTGCATGAACTGCAGCCTAGATTGGAGCTCAGTCCCATCATGTTAAAAATCTGCCTTTGATTCAAGGAAGGAAATGAAGAAGCAAAAGCTCATATTATTGTGGAGGCATTACTGATAGTAGCTATAAAAACTTTTAAAAAGTCGCTGGTATATTTGGTTCCCTAGCAGGTTTTTACATGGAGGAAGCTGGAACTGATTCACTCAGAAGAGGGGATTCTAAGCCAACTGGCTCAGCAGTGAAAAAACGGTCTGACCAGCGTAAACCTGCCCAAAAAACCAGTGGAGTGTTTGTAATGTAATCAGTGTTGTAGAGATACGGGTGAAGGCAGAAGGAAGAGCAAAGAGAAAATGAACATGAATTTTAAATGGGAATAACCCTCTCATTCTCAATCTGATTCTTTTAAGAAGGAGAAAACCACAAGAGCTCCCTCCATACCCAAAGCGGAGTACTTTTTTTTTCCCCCCCGTAATGGATGACAAAACAGCCTTTGTATCCACCCACTGTCATCTCCCCGAAACCGAAAATCCCTTCTCTCCAGGTGTGCACCCAGAAAAAGAAAGCAAAATGTTCATTGAGAGCGGAGGGCGGTGCTCCGAGCAGGGGAAGTTCGTGGCTGCTTCCCTGCTCCCTTGCCTCGGAGCCACCGGACTTGGTTAACAGCAAAGTGAACCGCGAATAGCAGAAAGACCCAGGGGCCAAACTTGGGGTCGCTTCGCACCAGAGCCCACCCAACCACAAAGCGCCCGGGCATTCGGCTGGGGCGGAGGGTGGGGACACCTGTCAAAAAACGGGACCCGAGCCGCAGCCGGCGGGCGGCGCAGGGGCTTTGCTCACAGCACTGCGGCGGCGAGGACCCAGGCGTGTCGGCTCCGCGCTCCGGGCGCAGGAGAGCGGGCAGGGACTCCCGGGAGCCGCGGGGCACCCGCGCCA